CAAAAAAAAAAAAAAAAAAAAAAGAGTTCTTTGTATATTTTAGATAATAGTTCTTTAGCAGATGTGTCTTTTGCAAATATTCTCTCCTAGTCTGTGGCTTCCCTTCTCATTCTCTTGAACTTTAGTCTTTTTTAATCCCTCTATTTCTCCATTATTTCCTTCTTTTGTGTTAAATAGGTATTTTCTAATGTACCATTTTACTTATTTGTCATTTCTCTATGCATTTTTTTAGTTATTTTCTTAGTGGTCGCTCTAGGGATTACAATTCACATTTTAATTTATAGCAATCTAGTTGTTCAAATTAATACTGACTTAATTTCAATAGCATACACAAAAAATCTGCTCCTATACAACTCTCTTCCCTCCTTCCTCCTTTATGTTATTGTCATACAAATTATATCTCTATGCATTGTATAAAGCAACTCAGATTATTGCCCTTTATAGTTGTATTTTAGATCAGATGGGGGGGAGAAAATGTGACAAACAAAAACATACACTTATACTGTCTTTTATATTTACCAAGGTAGTTACATTTACCAATGCTCTTTCTTTCTTCATGTGCTCTCTATTTCACTGTCTAGTGCTCTTTCATTTCAGTCTGAATGACTCTCTTTAAAATTATTTCTCATAGGGGAGGTCTGTGATAAATTATCTCAATTTTTTTTATCTAGGAATGTCTTACCTTCTTCATTTTTTAAAGGTAGTTTCACTGAATACAGAATTCTTGGTTGGCAGCTTCTTTCATCACACTGCCTTAATGGTTACAGAAGATAAATCAGAGGTTAAGTCTTATTGGGGATCCTTTGTACATGATGGATCACTTCTCTGTTGTTGCCTTCAATACTCTCTTTGTCTTTTGCTTCCAATGGTTTGATTACGTGTCTAGGTGTGGGTCTTTTTGAGGTATTCCTACTTGTTAAGTTTCTTGGATATGTATATTCATGTTTTTTCTTCAAGTTTAAGGAGTTTGTCAGCCCTCACTTCTTCAAATATTCTTGCTGCCCTTTTTTTTCCTATCCTCTTCTTCTGGGACTATTAGTATGTATATGTTGCTACACTTTGCTAATGTCCCACAAGTCTCTGAGGCTCTGTTCATTTTTCTTCATTCTTTTTTTTTTCCTGTTCCACAGACTGAATAATATCAATCGACCTATCTTAAAGTTCACCAATTTTTTTCTTCTGCCTGTTCAAATCTGGTATTGGGCCCCTCTAGTAAATTCTTCACTTCAGTTACTTTTCTCCTCAATGCCAGAATTTATTTGGTTCTTTTGTATAATTTCTATCTAGTAATTGATACTCTCTGTTTGGTGAAACATTATTATACTTTCTTTTACTTCTTTACTATATATAAAGAAGTAAAAGAAAGTATACTTTTATACCTTTACTTCTTTGAACATACTTAAATAGCTGATTTAAAGTCTTTGTCTAGCAAATCCAATATTTGGGCTACCTCAGTTTCTATGGACATTTCATTCACCAGCTTCCTCTTTTAAGCTTTTCTTTTCCTTTGGTTAATTTGTTGTTTGCTCCAGTTGTTATCGGCATCTCAGGCAGCTATGTTGTTAAACAGTTGTTGCTGATTGTTCTTGACAAATGACTCTAAGGAAAATACTGTTTACACTGGACAAGTTCTCTGTCAGGTTACATAAAGACAAGGTTTTTGAGACTGGTTTACCAGGCAACTTCCAGACAGGTCAAATTATGACAAGTCTCTGAATATGGGGCTTTGAAAGAGCTCCAACTCCATTTTGACTCCTCCAGTGCTGGGTAAAATGCTAGTTTTCACCATGATTGCAGGCTGTTGGTTTTCAAGGCTACCATGGAGCTGGAGAAAGAACTGTTACCAGAGCAAGTAAAAAAATGCCACAAAGCTTGCTGTTCTTACAGAGAAAATGCTGTTGACTTGTTTTTAATAAATGCTCCCCCAGATCGTTGTAAGCCTTTGGTTAATTTCCAAAGTTCTGAAAAAGTTGAGCTTGACAATTTTTGCAAGCGTTCTTGGTAATTTTATAACAGAGTATTTTCAGATGCGGTTATTCTGCCACTCTCAGTAACATCACTCTCGTTCACCTCATTTTAAGATTACTTTTAAAGACATTAAATTATTTAAAGCAATAATAATAGTATATTGTGGGGTTAATAATATATTTAGAAGTATGTGTATGACAATAATAGCACAACGGATAGGAGGGGGGTACATGGAAATAATCTGTTGTAAAAATCCCGTACATTATAAGTGAAATTGTATGACATCATTTGAAGGTAGACTATAGTAAATTAAAGATGGATGTTGTAAATCCTAGAGCAAACACTAAAAAAAAAAAAGAGAGAGAGAGAGAAAAAGAAATAATTCAATAGAAGAGAGAAAATAAAATACTAAAAAATACCCATTAATAAAAGATATTATGAAAGACAGAAAAGAACCAAAGAACAGACAGGACAGAAAACAAATAGCAAGGTGGCACATTATACTGCAACTGTATGTGCCTGTCTACCTATCTCTCTCTTATGCTCTATCTATGTATACCCATTTTCTCTACTAGATTATAAACTTACCTAATTTAAGTGATAAACAGAAACAAGCCAAAGTTAATTGCTGTAATAAATACACTATAAATTCTAACTTCTCTATTTTGGAATTTGTGATAATTTATGAAATTTTACTTAATATATAAGACACTATGAAAAAATATAAAACTCACCTGTCTTCATAAAATAAATCTCAGAATTTTAGTGCTAAGTTATTTCAGAAACTACTTTGTACAATTTCATTTTACAATTAAGGAAACTCAAAGTGACTAACTGATAATTAATCAAAAGCATCACATGGTCAGTCAGCAGTAGAGCCATAGTAAAATTCTTATTTCACATCTTTTAGTCCAGTTCTCTCAAGAGAAAAAAATTTCTATGCAACACCAACCACATATGCAACTATATATAAATAACGTGCTTATTTCAAATGATTCTTATCTAGCAGATCTAGAAACATCTTGTTAAGTTGTACACAAACTTTAAAATAATCAAACTTTTTTAAATGCCTATTGTTGAATTTAGAGTTTCAACTAATTCAAATTCTCATCAATTAATCAAGATTATTGAACTATACTATACTTAACGAAAATCGAAGATACCGTGGCTAAATAATCATTTAAAACACTGGCTACCAAAATCAGAGAATACAATCATTCATTCAAATCCATGACCAAATCATTCACACTTATGCCAAAAATGACTTAAAAATTATAAAATCTGTGTGTATTATTACCTGTAGCTCCAAGTGGGTGTCCCTTTGAAATCAATCCACCACTAGGATTTATGACCCACTTTCCTCCATAAGTATTATCTCCTCTATCAACCAGTTTCCCACCTTGACCTATAGAAGGAAAAATAATATTCATAAATGTTAAAAATAACATCAGAACAAATGATATGTTTGTTTTTTTTAAACTTACAGATAGCCAAGAATTTCTTGGAGCAAACATTTCTTGATGGCTCAAACTAACTTCAAATTGATAAAAGCACTTCTAAAAGTGACGTAATAAATATTGAGTAATAAAAGCTTATATTTTCAGAACACTTCCTGCATGAAACAAAGCTCCTATTAGCTTCTAAGAGCTCTCTGCTTCCAGAATTGCTACAAATATAATCGAGATTCAGAGAACCAGAAGAAAAGCACTGAAATGGATACAACACTGTAAAGTAATATTAGGTTTAAAAATTCATCATTTTGACAAAATATTCATTTCCATTTCAACTGTACTATTACATTCTATATAAAAATTCTTAGTAAACAACAGGGGGGAGAGGAACAGAAAAAAAAGAGTGCTTTCATGAAACAAAGGAAAATGAAAATACCATTGAGCATAACTGTAAGCTTAAAAGAAAAAAATTACATCACATGCTTGGCAGCTTCAACATTCCTATCGATTCCCTGGTCATTCTTCCAGGTGGTTAAGAAGTAAATAAAAATGCATGTACTGTATAAAATATTCTTCCAGATGACATTTCTGGTAATGAGAGGTGTAATCTCCAAATGATGATAATGGTGGTGGTGGTGTTATCAGAGGTGGCTAATAGCTTTTACGTACTCACTCTGTGTCAGGCCTTGTTCTCATTATTTTACATATATTTACATAATTTAATTTAATCCTCAACCCTATGAAGTAGGTACTATCATTCCCATTTTACAGATAAGGAAAGAGACACATAGATATTAAGTAACCAACCTAAGGCCAAAGGAGGGGATCTAGAATACTCAGGCAGCCTGGCTCCATAGCCCGTGTTCTTAGCCAACACATTTTATTGCCTTCAAAAACAAGAGCATTCCTCTACTGGCAAAATGAAACATACGAATCACAGAATTTTAGATGACTTAACACTTTTAATTTGATTTTAAATCTAGGTTGTAGATTAAAAACCATCCATTGAGACATTCTTCTATTTTTTGTTGTGTTTCTAACATAGAACCTGATACAAGGCTCTAGTCATAACAAGTAAACTATCTGCTATTACTGCTTTCATATTGTTAAATATTGTCACTGTACTGAGTAATAGCAGACTGAACACAAACCAACCCCAGGAAGTGAATAATTTACTGCATGATTTTCCATAATACATACAATCCTATGAAGTATCAGAATATTCCACTGGGGAATTAACATTCCAGAAGACCTGCTTTATAAGAAATGCTAAAGTAAATTCTCTAGAAAAATTTGGATCAGCAAGAAAGAGGAAAGAACAACAGAAGTAATAAATATCTGGGTAAATATAAAGGACTTTTTTCCTCTTAAGGTCTTTAAAATATGTGCAACTATTGAAAACAAAAATTATAACACTGTCTTTGGGTTTTTTTTTAATGTACATAGATGTAATACATATGATAATTTAACATAAAGGTGGGTGTAAGGCAGAAGGGAATTGGTTAATGGACGTATATGTTTGCAAGGTTTCTACATTTTATGTTAAGTGGTACAATATTAACGCTAAGGAGACCCCTACAGCAATGGTTCTCAGCCCAGAGAAATTCTGTCCCCCAGGGGACATTTGGCAATGTCTGGAAACATTTTTGATTATCACAACTGTGGGGGTAGGTACTACTGGCATGTAGTGGGTACAGGGCCAGGAATGCTGTTAAACATCCTACAATGTCCAAGCCCCACAAAAAAGAATGATCTAGCTCAAGCATCAACAGTATTGAGGTTGAGAAACCCTGCAACCACTAAAACAAAACAAAACTAACCAAAAACTAAGCTAAGAATAAACAGATATGGCCAAAAAGCCAATACACACTAAAATGTCATACTAAAAATATTCAGATAATCCAAAAGGCAGCAGGTGAGAGAGAAAACAGAGTAACAAAAAACAAAGAGACATACAGAGGAAACAGATAATAAAATGGTCAACCTAAATCCTACTATATAAATATGTAATTACATTAAACGTTAATGCTCTTTAAATCACACTGCCCAACAGAAATATAATGCAAATCACATATGTACTTTAAAATTTTCTAGTATATATTTTATTTAATATATATTTTATAATGTTTAACCCAATATATCCAAAATATTTTCATTTCAAAATGTAACCAACATAAGGACTTCCCTGGTGGCACAGTGGTTAAGAATCCACCTGTCAATGCAAGGGACACGGGTTTGAACCCTGGTCCAGGATGATCCCACATGTTGTGGAGCAACTAAGCCCGTGTGCCACAACTACAGAGCCTGCATTCTAGAGCCCATGAGCCACAACTACTGAAGCCCACATGCCTAGAGCCTATGCTCTACAACAAGAGAAGCCACCAAAATAAGAAGCCCACACACTGCAACAAAGAGTAGCCCCCGCTCACCGCAACTACAGAAAGCCCGCACACAGCAATGAAGACCTAACACAGGCAAAAATAAATAAAAATAAATAATTTTTTTAAATGTAAGCAATATAAAAAATTATTAATGAAATACTTTATATTCTATTTTTCATATTAAGTCTTCAAAATCTGATGTGTACTTCATACTTACAGCACATCTCAATTTGGACTAGCCACATTTTAAGGATTCAATAACCACATAGAGCTCGTGGCTACTGTATTAGACGACACTCCGTTAAGCACTCCATTAAAAGGCAGAAACTAACAAAGTTTATAAAAAACAATACACTACTGCCTACAAGAGACACACCTTAAATAGACAAATAAATAAATAAATAAATAAATAAATAACCTAAATAGGTCAAAAGCAAACGGATAGAAAAACATATATCATGTAAACAGTAAGCATAAGAAGGCTGGCATGCTATGTTAGTCAGATAAAAGAGACTTCTAGACAAAGAATGTAACCAGAGATAAAGCAGAATGTTTCATAATGAAAAAAAACACAACTCATCAGGAAGACATAACAATTATAAATAAGAGAGCCTCAAAATAAATGAAGCAAAAATTGACAGAAATAAAGAAAGAAATAGTTCCACAATTGTAGTAGGAGATTCTAACACCCCTCTCTCAGCAAGTGATAGAGCAAGTCAAATAAATTAGTAGAGATACAGAAGGCCTTAAAAATTCTATCAATCATCTTGATTTAATTAACATATATATAGAACACTACCTCTAACAACCACAGAATCTGCATTATTTTTCAAGTGCATAAGTTCACCAATATATACCATATGCTGAGCCATAAAGTAAATTTCAATTAATTTAAAAGGATCAAAATCAAACAAAGTGTAATCTCTGACTACAGCAAAATTATAATAGCAATAACAATAAGATACCTAGGAAAATTCCAAATACCTGGATATTAAACAGCACACTTATAAATAATTACAGGTCAAAGACAAAATTAGACATTAAAGGGACATTTTAAATATTTTGAACTAAAAGACAATGAATATATCAAAATCTGTGGAATGCAGCTAAAATACTGCTTAGAAGAAAACGTATAGCTTTACATACTTACACTAGAAAAGGAGAAATATCTAAAATAAATGATCTAAGGATCTATCATAAGAAACTTAAAACAAAACAAAAAAAAGTAAACCCAAAGTAAGTTAAAGGAAGTAAATAATAAAGAGCAGAGATCAGTGAAATGGAGGGGGAAAAAAGACAGTAACAAAGGCAAAAGCTGAATCTTTCTAAAGCTCAACAAAATTGACAAATTTCTAGCTAGACAGATGAAGAAAAAAAGGAGAACAAAAACCATCAATATCAGGAATTTTAAAAAAAAGGTTATCACCATAGATTCTATAGACATTAAAAGGATAATAAGAGAATACTTTGAACAACTTCAGTGAACAAATTTGGCTACTTAAATAAAATGGACAATTTTCTTGAAAAATATATCTTACCAAAATTAATAGGCACAGGAAGAAACAAAAATTACAGATCAGACCTTCAAGATGGCGGAGGAGTGAGACATGGAGATAACCTTCCTCCCCACAAATACATCAGAAATACATCTACATGTGGAACAAATCCTACAGAACACCTACTGAACACTGGCAGAAGACCTCAGACTTCCCAAAAGGCAAGAAACTCCCCGCATACCTTGGTAGGGCAAAAGAAGAAAAAGAAAAAACAGAGACAAAAGCATAGATTTGGGACCTGCCCCTCTGGGAGCGAGCTCTGAAGGAGGAAAAGTTTCCACACACTACGAAGCCCCTTCACTGGCAGAGACGGGGGG